AAACGATTTTTTTGTTTATAAACAATATTCAATAATTTAATAAAATATATTTAGTTTATTCCAATTTATTTATACCGTCAGTAGGTAATTCGTGAATAGATATTTCAAAAAGGTATCAATTTCAAAAATCGTTCTTGTGAAAATCTGTATTTTTGTATAAATGGATTGTTCCTTGAAATTCAGAAGTGCCAAGAAAACGCGTGACCTTGAAAATTTTAAAATTTTTCGCCTGCGGCGTCATTCAGAGTCTCTCTGGGCACTGAATATTCCGGAATTCAATTCAACAAATGTAACAACCCTAAGCAGAACACATTCAATCAATGTTCACGCGCCGCCACTGTACAGAGGTATGTGTGACACGAGATATTTATATTTATTATTGATTCGAAAAATTTTTTGATAAAATACTATCCGTGCATTGAAAATAATGGATAATTTTACCAACTGTGATCAAATCTGTTGCAGGTAGGTGCTTTTTGTACATTGTGATGTGGTGCATTATCAGTTACAACAACATAATTTGGGAGGGAGATTTGAAATCAACTTCACTGTAGGCCACTTCTCATAATTTTACAAGTTTATGTCGTCCTGGTAGTTTCCAGATTTGGACAGTTAGTCATATTCCTCACTTGATTTTGGTATGTTGGTTTTTGTACATATTCTTCTTGTGTTTCTTAGAAGAACTAAATATTATTCACCATCGACATTGTTTAGAGCTCTATAGTGACTAAAGTTACTCCTGTAGCAGCTGCAACACTGTTTTTTAATTGTATTTTATTTCCATTTGGAAAAATTGTCTTACAGTAATTATACGCGTTAATCATGACAAATTTTGACGGGGAATTTAATTCCTTTCTTTTATTTTCCACCTCCACTGATTTATTTTAATAAGAAATTACACAAAAACTCACAGGAAGATACACTTCGTACCTTCGTGACGCCGCCAATGCTTTCTACGTCGGGTGTTAAATGCAGATAATTCTCAACAAATATCGTACGGACGCAAATGATAACGACAAAATGAAACTCAGACAAATGATATACGTTAAATTTTATTGAATTGTTAAATGTGATATATAAGTAGATACATTACGGTGTTTTACATGTTTTCTTAGAATGTATAATAACAGTAGTGTTTAAGTTGTNACTAGCGCACGCGGATATACACAAAGATCAGCACCCGTATCGACGAGAAACTGGACCTTGGAGTACGTATCCGTAACGTACAAACGGCGCGGAATCGGGCACGGGTCGCTGTTCACCATCACCGACTGCTCGTCTCGTTTCCCGGACGGTACGTGCACGGATCGCGGCACGCGCGAGCGCGGTCACCAAAACGTTGCACTAACCACTGTCACTGCCACGGCTTCGCGATCGGTCTTGCGAACGCGATCTGGATGTTCTCGTCGTCGGTCGCCGCGGTTCACTCTTCGTGAATAACTTAGCTATTACCTGCGACATCTCCACAAACTATTGCTCGATGCGATTCAGCCTGTCGTCTTTTGAACGGGTATGATTTTCGAAGTAGTTTCCTTGTACACATGTTCGCAAATGACCCATTTTTAAGCATTACTTCAAGAACGCCGCCGGACGCACTACGGGGTTCCCGGAAGACGACCCTGGCAGAGTTGCGCCAAGGAGCAAGGACTTCTGCCAGCGACTACCAATATACCTACGACCGACACCACGCACGGGGACTCTCCTACGAACACTCACCCCGTCAACACAGTTTTCTATACATTAGTTTCCATGTTTGAGGCTCATGTTTGCTTGCTGCGTTGCGCGAACTTAAAACCACTCTAATTGCACAAAATCGCGTACTTTCGCTGAAAAGATCACGTCGGGGTCACCACTTGAAGGTTGCTTTCGCTGTACAGCAAGAATAAAACGCTCTCTCAACGGTAATAATAAAGTATTTTATCCACGACTATTGTATAATGTACCCATTATACGTCTGTTTGCACGACCTTATAAATACCCATTAATCACGGCAGTGATTAATGAGTCATTAATCACTACTGTCAGATGCTTCCTTGATTTAGCTATATTCTGCTACAATCAATTGGTTTTTAAAATTTTATCGTGTAAACCACTAAATATTTTCAATTCAGTGCTGTACATATAAAAAAAAATTAAAAAAGTGAATTTTCCTAGACCGGATTTGAACCCGGGACCCGCGGTTGGAAGGAAAAGAGCATCTACACTGAGCCATCAGCGACTTCATTTGTGCGAGTCGTATATCTGTTTCTTAACATACCATGTTTTTCGAAACATTTCAAAAAAAACTTCAACAAAAATATTTAGTAGTCGTGGATAAAGTATAGTATTCTACTCCCGTATAATGGGTATTATTCACTCGGTGATTTAGGCCACTCGCCTGCGGCTCGTGGCCGTAAACTTCACCTCGTGAATAATACCCATCATTATACGCTCGTTGAATAATATACTATTATT